GCCGGGGGGTGGGGGAGAATAGGCTTCACCACTTGAAGAAAGGAGTTGCAGTGTTGTGACCACTTTTTGTCATTGGTCACACTTTCCAACTGAGAGTCATTAAGTAGTTGCTCCTCATCACTTAGGGAAGGGCAGAGGTCTCCGGTGGCCGCCTCCAAACTCACCTCTGTCCTTACGAGCTATGCCGCTCTGAACTTGGACTTTTACACCTGAACCAGAAAAAGAAAGCCCTGCGGCTAGCCAGACGCCTGCTCTGGAGGAGGTTCGGAGACGGTTAGTCTGCTAGGGCTGCCGCAACAAAACACAACAGGCCATGCGGCCTCAGCAACAGACCGTGACTGCCCACAGTGCTGGAAGATGGAAGTCCAAGACCAGGGGGTCGGCGGGTTTGGTTTCCTTTGAGGCCTCTCTCTTTGGCTTGCAGACGGACCCCTTCTTGCTATGTCCTTGCATGGCCTCTCCTCCGTGGGCACACCACCCGTGTCTTCCTGTGGGTCCTGTAAGGACAGCTGTCAGATTGTAGTAGAGTCCACCCTAACAGCATCGTTCTCACTTAATTATTTCTTTGAAGCTGTGTTCATCCCCTCGGAGCAGGGATATGGAGCTGGGGGGCTCTGGGTGGGACCCCATTGCTATCCATTATTTCGACAAACCATCAGCACCTGCCCTACACCTGGCCTGTGCTGGGCAGGATAGGGACACAGTGGTGGCTGAGGGGCCCTCCTCTCCTGCACAGCCTGAGCTGTGTGGCCGAGGACCGATGCCACTTTACCCTCACACACCAGAGCCGTGCGGCCCTCCTTTCACACGGCCATATCTTCGTCTGCTTGGGCCTGATTAGCTCTGCTGGTCTACCCTGACGACTCCCCGAGACTCTGTTGGACCACAGAGCTGTGCGAGCGCCCAGCAGGTGGCAGCTAGACCCAGCACTGGCACCGAGTCTGAACCTGTGTCCACCTGGTGAACACCACTCGCCCCTACCTGGCGACGGACTGAGACCCTACCTCATGCAACTCGAGTGCTGCCAGGGGATCTTCCATTGCCTGAGCCTAACAGGCAGCAGGCAGGCGGGGTTCGGTGGAGGCAGGCCAAGGTGAATATCAGGGTGACTTGGGACGTTTGCTGACCTGCCCCCAGACCTGGGGCTGGTCAGAGCAGCCTTGGTGCTCAGCGTGGTCCTTCTATGCACACCCGGGCGTGGCAGAGGCAGCCACAAACTGGATCGCTCTGTAGCTACAAACGGATTGCCCAGGGCCAATCACAGGTAGCATATGAATTGGCCTGCACCCGAGTCCCTCCCAACAGGCCCCAGCGGCCGGCTTCAGACAACAGGAGAGAGAGATCCCACTAGTTTCACAAGTGGCACATCCAAAGGAAGATCCTGGCAGGCACCAGAGGTGCTGAGGCAAATTCTGCTTTGTGTGGTCGGCAGCTGCACAGCAGCTCAGACACTGTGGCCAGGGCTGACTCCCACCGTCAGCCAGCTGGAAGGTCGATCCCACGCGCCAATGGGCCTGAAGCAATCAAGACTCAGTTACAACAGGAGGGCCCTCGTAACCCAGACAAGGGGCATTCCTGGAGCACCCAGCTCAGGTGATAAAGGTGACGGCACCACTGAACCCCACAGGATACCTATTACATAAGGCCACCCTGCCAAGAATGGGGGTCATAATGCATAAAAACAAACACAAAGAGGCAACCAAAATGGAGAGACAAAGAAACATGCCCCAAATGAAGAACAGAAGAAATCTCCAGAAAAAAAGCTAAATTAAATGGAGGCACAAACAATTGATTAGATATAGAGTTCAAGAAATGGTTATAAGGATGCTCATATGGACATAAAATCCATAAAAAAGAACCAGTCAGAAATGAAGAACACAATATCTGAAATGAAGAATGCACTGGAAGGAATCACCAGTAGATTCAATGGAGCTGAAGATGGAATCACCGATTTGGAAGACAAGGTAGCAGAAAACTACCTTGAGGAAAAAAAAGAGCAGGAAAAAAAAAAGAATTTTTAAAAATGAGCATAGTTTAAGGGACCTTTGGGACAACATGAAGTGTAACGACATCCACATAATAGTGGTTCCAGAAGCAGAAGAGAGAGAGCAAGGCATCAAGAACAATATTTGATGAAATAATGAAAACTTTCCTAACCTATTGAAGGCAGAAGACACAGGAAGTGCAGAGTCCCAAACACATCATAATTTAAATGGCAAAGGTTAAAAACAAAGAGAGAATATTAAGAGCAGCAAGAGAACACAGTTAGTTACCTACAAGGGTGCTCCCAAAAGACTGTCAGATGATTTCTCAACAGAAACATTTCAAGCCAGAAGGAATGAGTATAACATATTCAGTGATGAAAAGCAAGTTCCCACAGCCAAGACTACTTTAAATAAATAAAATAATAAAATAAAATAATAAATAAATAAATAAATAATAAAATAATAAATAAATAAAATAAAATAAATAATAAGATAAAATAAAATGGGAATTGGACAAGGGGGAGAATTGTGTGTGTCCTATCTGTAAAGAGCATCCCACAGGAGCCAGTAGCTCAAGCCCCAAGCCTCGGAGGCCCCCTTGACTCCTCTCTTTCTCCCCCACCCACATCCAATCCATCAGCAAATCCTGGGGCTCTGCCTTCAAAATAACCCAGAATGCAAGCACTGCTCCCAGCTCCTCACCTCGCCCTGGTCCAGCTGGGGCGGTGGGGCTGGGATACTTATATAACTCCCACGTCAGGTGCCGCGGAGGCCCGCTCCCGGGGTACCCGTTCCCCAACAGGCTGACCTGCTGCCTCGATGGGAAGTATGGGCTCTGGGGCAGCAAAAGCCCTCAGGGCACAGAAGCTGGACGTGGGATGATTGGGAGCTGTGGTGGGGGCACCAACAGCTCCACTGTGCCCAGTGCCCGGGGCAGTGCAGGGCATGGACCAGGCAGTCCTCGTCCATTTGTTCATGAGTGAATGAATGAATGAATGAATGAATGCCTCTGTGGTGGGCAGAAGAGGGGCTCAGTCTCCCCAAGTCCTGTCCGCCCACATGGACTTACTCCCCGTTCACACAGCCCAACTGATGGTGCTACACACATTCCCGGAGACTTTGCGGGGCGTCGTCCAGAGTGAGCTCAACTACTCGGTGATCCTGAACTGTCTGACTACACTCAGGCCCACACCCGTGATTCACTGGACCTTCAACGGGCAGCCCCGAGGGACAGGGGAGAAGCTGATCATCCGGCGGCTGTCCAGGGAGGACGTGGGTACCTATATGTGCGTGGCCAAGAACAGCCAGGAACAGCACTCCTCCGAGCTGGTGAAAGTCTCCCTGGCCGGTAAGCCCCCCAGCCCTACCCCAAACCCCTGCACCCTCGCTGGTCGGCGGCCCGTTTTCCTGGTTCCCCTGAACCCCCTTCAGTGAGCAGTCTCCTCTGAGACGCTCTGTAGCCAAGTTGTCATCACATGCACCTGGCAGATTGGGCATGATCAGCCCATTTCACAGATGGCAGGCTGTGGAAGCTCAGCTCATGATCTGGAGCCAGCTGCCTGGGTCCTGGCTCCCACCGCTTGCCGGGTGTGACTTCTGGAGCCATCTTCGCCTCTCTGAGCCTCGGCATGTGCCAGCGGGAAAGTGCAGGTGCTCATGTAACACGTGGTCCTGAGCATGGGCATGGAGTTTGAATTCTGGCTCCACTTCCTGGCCATGGGACTTGGGACCAGCTCTGTGCCTCAGTTTCCCCACCTGTAAAATTGGAAAAATAAGAGTGCCCACCCAAAGTATAGTTGTGAGCATTCAATGAGATAAGCAGGTGAACAGCTTAAAATAACAGTGCCTCATACTACCGAACACTAGTGAGTGTTCGATACACACTAGAAATAGTATCGTTGCTACAATTAGCATTATCAATATTATTAACTAGAGGCCCAGCACATGAAATTCGTGCACTGAGGCTGTCCAGGCGGCAGAGGCTTGAAGGCCATGCTTCCTCCCCAGGTGCTGGGGCGTCACGGCGAGCTTTTGAGCAGAGGAGGTACAGGGTCAGGTTTGAGCTTCAGAGAGGACACTGACTTCCTTATGGTGGGGCGATGGGTGGGGAGAGACTGGGGCAGGAGAGCAAGGAGGAGGCCTGGGCAGAGGCCTAGAGGATGTGGAGGAAGGGAGGGAGGGGATGGTGGGAGTGGGGGTTGTGGAGGGAGGGCGGTTGCTCCAGCCTCACCCATTCTCGGTTTCCAGAGGTCGACATGGATTCCACAGACGAGCCCATCGACCTGGACCCCGGTCTCACGGTGTCAGGAGGATCTGCTATCGCCCTCCTCCTGGCCGGAAGTGCCGGGTTGGTGGTCGTGATAGTAGGAATTGGCTCCGCCATCGCCCAGACCCAAAGGTACCGTCCGTCCCTGACCCGTGTGCCTGGACTGACCTCCCCACTCAGCAGCAAAACAAAACAAAATGCCTCGTCCCAAGGAGCTTTAGGCTCATTCAGAGAGGATGGCATTGACCCCTGATGTGGCCATCTGCCTCCTCAGTTCCCACAGTGACCACAGGAGTCAGAAGAGGGTTTTGATGCTGGTCTGTCTGGTGCAAATTCCAGTTCCGTTACTTCCCCGCAGGGAAGCCATGGGCAGGTCACTTGCCCTTTTTGTGCCTCAGTTTGCCTCTCTGCAAAATGGGGATGACAATCATAATACCTGCCTCACAGGACTGTTGTGAGGATTAAACAAGCTAATATTTCTGAAGTGTTTAAAACAGTGTTTGGGATACAGTAAGCATTGTATTCATTCCTTCTGCACATATCGATGAGCCAGGCGCTGGGGCTACTGTGGGGATAATGGTGCGAAGTCCCTGCCCTCATGAACTTTCATCCTAGGCAGGTACCAACAATTATGAGGTGACCCAGGGAACTCTAGGTTGTATGTTGAGGGAGGATGAGTGCTAAGGAGAGGAATAGGGCCGGAAGGGGGACAGGGAGTGTGGGGATGAGGAGCAATTGAGCTAAGTCAGTCAAGACCTCCCCTAGAGAGTAACATTTCAGCAAAGACATTGGGCAAAGGAAAAGAGGGGGGAAGCCCATGTGTATGTGGGGAAAGGGCACACCGGGCAGAGGGAACAGCAAGTACAAAGGCCCTGAGGTGGGACTTGCCTGGCATGTTAAAAAAAATTGCAAGGAGGCCAGTGTGGCTGGAGTGGCGTGAGGAATGGGAAAAGAAGCAAGACCTGAGATCCGAGAGGGAAAGGGTGGGGCACCAAACAGTGGAAGGTGTGTGGGTCATGTCAATACTTGGCTTTTGTTCTGAGTGAGATGGGGGTCATGTGGGTTTCGGGCAGAGGAGGGAATGGATGTATGGATAGATGGATGGATGAATGAATGAATGAATGAATGAGTGACTGCCTCTGTGGTGGGCAGAAGTGCTCAGTCATTCTGACTTACATTTTAATCCTAGCTGTGTCAGCTATTATCATACTATAATAACTTTCCCTGTATTGAATGCCTATTATGTGCTTGCTAAACTTTATTCTTTTTTAAATATATTTTTATTGATTTCAGAGAGGAAAGAAGTGGAAGAGAGAGAGATAGAAACATCAATGATGAGAGAGAATCATTGATCAGCTGCCTCCTGGACGCCCCCTACTGGAGATTGAGCCTGCATCCCAGGCATGTGCACTTGACCAGAATCAAACCTGGGACCCTTCAGTCCGCAGGCTGACGCTCTATCCACTGAGCCAAACCAGCTAGGGCAACATTATTCTTTGTAATCTCCACAAGAGAGGGTAGCAGGGTGGGGTAGCGATGAAGGCCTCAGTTTTGTCAGAGAGGAAACGAAGGCCCAGGAAGAAGTGACTGGCCCCAGACCCCATAGCTGGAGAGGAGGGATTCCAACTCAAAACCCTGCCTCACTCCCAGTTCCAGCCTCTAACCCACGCCGCCTCTTTTTTACCATTAACAATGCACACCTTCGTAGCTTATGGACCGAGGAAGAGAAATCTGCAAGTTGAAATGCTTTGGCAAGGCCTTGCCCAGATCTCTGGCCTGTGAGTTCCATGGGGAGCCTTCTGGAGGCAGGGGAGGGCCAGGCTGCTGCCTGAGTCACCCACATCATCTTCACTGTGGCATTTCCTGGGTCCTCACCATGAGCCAAGATCTCTGAGTCACAAGAACTCTCAGGGGCGGGTTCTGTTCTTGTCCTCATTTTCAAAATGAGTGGAACCAAAGCTCAGAGAAACTCATCAACTTGCCCAACGACAAACAGCTGACAACTGGCTGACCCTGGACCAGACCCAGATCCAATTCCAAAGCCAAGTTCTTAGGAAGGAAGGGTGAGAAGTCCGGCTGGCATAACCCTACTCGCCCAGACCACCCGATATCCTGTCTCCATGAGTGGGTCGGAGGTGTCACTCCTGGTCCTCCCCACCATCTTGGCCAAAACCCATTTACTAATAGTTTCAGACAACACATCAATTCTGGCGTCCACCAGAAGGAACCAGCCTGGGTGAATCAGCAGTGACCTTGGAGATGAGGTCATGGGAACAGGCATGACTGTCTGGACGCTGCCATGGGGGGGGGAGGGGGTGGCAGTCCCACACACGTCGACCACACCCACCAAGGGCCAGCAGAGATCCCTGTTGTTTGCCGTTAAGGCCATGGACCCCAAATGAGGCTACTTAGGTTCATCCCAGCTCTGCCAAGTGCCAGCTTATGTATGGCTTTCGGTGAGTCCTTTAATGCTCTGTGCCCCGTCTGCAAAACAGGGATAGTTACGGTAATACTTACCTCAAAGTGTGGGTGTGCGAGCAGCTAAGACAATGGGAGGAAAGCGCTGTAAAGAGTGCCTGGTAGCCCTGACCGGTTTGGCTCAGTGGATAGAGCGTTGGCCTACAGACTCAAAGGTCCCAGGTTCGATTCCAGTCAAGGGCATGTGCCTTGGTTGTGGGCACATCCCCAGTAAGGGGTGTGCAGGAGGCAGCTGATGGATGTTTCTCTCTCATTGATGTTTCTAACTCTCTATCCCTCTCCCTTCCTCTCTGTAAAAAATCAATAAAACATATTTTTAAAAAAAGAGTGCCTGGGATATGGTCAGCCTTCAATAAGTGTATTGTTATGGTGACTGTGATCATAATTTCTCTTTATTTCGTTGCAGGACTGACAGGCAAAGAATACGAAGATGCTGCTGAAGTGTGAGTACCTGCCTGTCACCCTGGGAGCTGAGGCCACGAAGGACGGGAAGAGAACCCTGTGTTCAGGGATGAGATGAGGTTCCTGGGGGCTCCATAGGCGATCTCCTCCCTCTGGTTTCCTGATCACTTGTTTGTGGGATGCTCCCCTTTTGTTGAGAGCCCTGGGGACGATTGTACAAGACACCCCGTCTGCCCATCTCACCAAACTCCTGGAGACCACCTCCACAAGCAGTGTGTATTTCATAAAACTCATGGGATGCCAGCAAAAGAAACGCCCTGTAGTGGCTCAATAAAAAATACAAGGAGCCCTAACCGGTTTGGCTCGGTGGATAGAGCGTCGGCCTGCAGACTGAAGGGTCCCGGGTTCGATTCCGGTCAAGGGCATGTGCCTTGGTTGCTGGGCACATATCCAGTAGGGGGTGTGCAGGAGGCACCTGATCAATGTTTCTCTCTCATTGATGTTTCTAATTCTCTATCCCTCTCCCTTCCTTTCTGTAAAAAATCAATAAAAAATATATTTTTTTAAAAAATACAAGGAAGGGTTTGATATTAGGATCCAAGAAGATTTTCAGGAGTCTGAGCATGTATCAGTTAGCACTTGCTGTGTAACAAACTATACCTTCCCATGCTTAAGCCTTGAAACCACAGCCATTTATCTAGCTTCCAATTCTGTGGGTTATCAATTTGAGCTAAGATTAGCTGGGCCATTCTTCTGGTCTCTGTTGGGCTCACTCATGCATCATGGTCAGTTGGCAGACTGCCTAAGGGGTGCCTGGCATAGGATCACCTCACCTGGAAACACCAACCTCTCTCTGCATCATCTCTCATACCCCAGCAGGCCAACCCAAGCTTGTTCATGTGACAGAGGCAGGATTCCAAGAGCAAGAGCAGAAGGGGCAATGCCTGTTAGGGCCAAGGTTAGGGACTGACACATCACCACTTCCACCACACTCTATTGGCCAGAGCAAGTCACATGACCAGCCCCAATTCAAGAGGTGGGGGTAATGGACTCCACCTGTTAACGGGAGGGTGGCCATCAGTGCTTGGACCAGGGCAGTTGCTCGCTGCCTCTCTCTGCTGCCCATCCCTCCCTTTGCAATCCTCTCCTCCAGGAACATGGATTCACAGTTCTCTCTCTGTCTCTTTCTACAGATGGCTGCTCAGTGCTGCTCAGAAAACACCATCCCACAGCTTCTACATCTATAACAGCGCTGTTTCCGGGAACAGCCCAGCTTAGCCCAAACCCCTTTGCCTAGTTTCTGAAACAGTGGGAAAGGCATCTGATTGGCTCACTTGGGTCAGGTGTTAACCTTGGTCCCACCACTGTGGCTGGGGCGGGGGCAGGTACAATCAAAGCCTTGGGAACTCAGCGCTACCTGTGGGGGCTCAGTACTCAGAAAATGGGGGAGTGTGGCCTTGCTGGGCAGATATCCCAAACTGTGTCTGCTACCGAAGAAGAAAACTTCCCAATGCAGGGAAGTGGGGCGGTGTTCACCACCCCCAGAAATCGCACTGGCTTGACCACTGGCTTCTGAGCTGCTGGAGAATCCTGGCAGATGGCAGGCAAGGGGGAAACTCCCGTGTGGAAATACCTGACATTTGAGGAACATTCAACAGAAAGCCACTGGCCATGTCATTATGATTAGTAATAACAGTAGCAGACCCGAACAGACGTCAGTGTGCCCGCCCCCACACTCTGTACCTCCTGCGGGTCCTATCTTATATCATCCACCCAGGTAGCTGGTCTCCGCGGCAGTCTGCCTGAAATTTGTTTCTAATCACCCCACTCCCCTGTTGCTCCCTCCCTGAGGCCAGAACCCCTAGCCCATCTCTCTGGGGTCCCGCCACCTCTTATGCCAGATACATATCACTGTGCGCATGCACAGAGGGTGAAAGTGAGGCTCAGAGGGGGCAAGTGACTTGCCTGCGGTCACACAGCTTCACGCGATGCCAACTCAAGTCCGCCCAAAGCCCGTAGCACAGACCCGCGCTGTCCAACAGGATTCAATGCAGTTATGGATAAGTATATATCTGCACTGTCCAATACCTGTGGCTACTGAGCTCTGTAAATGTGGATAGAGTCACTGAGGAGGTGAATTTTAGGTTTTATTTCCCTTCCATTAATTTGAGTTTTAATTTATAATACCCCCCGGGGCGGTGGGTGGTGGTCTGTGGAATCAGAAGGTGCAACGCTGACTCCTTATTGTTTAAAAATAAATAAATCACCCTGCAGCCCTATGCGCAGACCCCTGGCTGTGTGGCTGTTCCGGGTCCTGGCTCTGTTCTGTCCAAAGATCCAGCTGTGATCGGGAGCCCCTGATATCTAACCAGCGCCTTCCCTATCTGAGGCGTCCTTCCGACCCCTTCCCTCCTCCCGCTTACTGTCGGGGAAGAAATACTTTCCCGCCTGGGTGGGCCCTCAGGGAGCTGCTCCCGGGCTGGCTGTGTGTCCGAGGCGGCCCTGGAGCCAGCCCCCGCCCCCTGGCCCAGGACGCAGCAGGACCCCATGCCCTCGGGAGCAGCTGAGAATCACAGCTTCCTCCCCTCCAGAAAGAAACTGGGCAGAGCTCCTCCCAGAAGCCTGCTGACCACCCTCTTCTCAACCAGTCCCGTGGCTAAGCTCTCTCCTAGCACTTTCTGCTTGACATCGCTCATCGCTCATCGCATGGTGCCGTTAAGTACTTACGGGTGTAGTGATTGAACATTGATCTCATCCATGAGGCTGTCAGCTCCATACCTGCAGGACCCATGTGTGTCATACGATGTGTGCTCGGTACATGTTTGTTGATTCCAGGCTCAGGCCGGGAGTGCCGCCCCTCCGACCCCCGCACCCCCATCCTCCCACACACACAGCTGGAGCACCTGGGGCCAGAGACCGAGGCACCAGCTCCAGAGAAAACTCTGAACCACCTCAAGAGCTGGTGCCGGCCCCAAGGCGACTGCCCGCCAAAGCCCAGAGCCAGTGGATGCTGCAGCCATGGCTCGCTCTCAAGCTCCAGAGCCAGGGCCAGGGCAGGCTCAGGCCGCAGCTCTCATTCCAACTCGGGAGCCAGAAGGAGCCCCCGCACCGGTGTCAGCTTCGCAGCCAGAGCAGGCCACGCAGCTGCTCTCATCCAAGTTCAAGAGCTAGAACAGCCACCTGCGCAGGCTCCCGCTCCAGATCCACACGAGGTTCAAACAATGGCTCTCATCACCCCGCGTACAGTCTCGGTGCCTCAGTTTCCTCGTATGTGGCCTGGATATTGCTCCAGGGATGCATACAGGCCGACCTTTATTTTTCGCTTCTTGTGGGAAACCGCCTATTGTCTGCACTAGCAGAGAGGTGTGGACAAGGAACCCGGAAGGCTGGTGACCCTTGAAGCCCTTGCAAAAGTCAGGGCTGTGCACCCACTGTTAGTCCAGACAATGGTAGCTGAAGCAACTTCCCCAGTTATTATTATGTAAATCCTTGCTGATGGGCCAGTCTGCCTGGTACTGGAACTTGCCTGCCTAAGGGCCATGGGTGTATCCCAAACCCATAAAAGGTTGGCGCAGGCCTGAGCACCAGTGGAAGTCTTTTCTCTTGAGTTGGACTTACCTGCCTGGCCCCTCAATATTCCCAAATTATCTCATCTCTTCTCTTTCATTTGTGTGCGGCTCCTCTTCCAGATCCTGAACCCTGAACCAGGCAGGATGTGGAGGGAAACATTTACAACAGCTTCTGAGCCAGGAACCGTTCCAGGCTGTGCCAGTGACTCACGGAAGGCCAAGTGCTGGGAGCAGGGCCTGGCACCCGGCACCCGGCACCTGGCACCTGGCACCCGAGCCAAGCAGCTCTGGTCACTTCCGCAAACCTGGGGCCCGGGTCTTACGGTTTAGGATGAGGGTGAAGCAAAACCTGTGAGTCAAGGTAAAGAGGAATCTTCGGCGAATACCCAGGAACACCGGGGAAGGGACAGACAGGAGCCGGGTTTGGGAATAACAGAACGCTGGTTCCCAGACAGGCCCCGAGTGAACGCCCAGTTCTGGCACTTACAACCTCAAGCCAGGCACTTCCCCTCGTAACCTCCAGGCACACACAGCTCAGGCCTCCTCTCCCCTGCAAAGCCCTCTGCAACCCCCGCCCCACACACACTCAGGCCCCCGTGGGTCCTCACTGTCGGGGAGGAGTCTGTCTTCCATTGAACTGTCCAACCCAGGACGCAGGGCGGGACTGTCTGGGCCATTGCTGGGTCCCCAGCATTGCCCATCCCAGAGCAGGCTATGCATTCAGTCCCCAATAATAGCCAGTCTGTTGAGCATTTCCTATGTGTCAGGTACCACGCTCAGAGCGTCACGTGCATATTCTCATCGCCTGTGGTCCTGTCATCTCCAGTTGACAGAGAAGGAAACTGAGGCACAAACTTGCCCCAGGCCGCCCAGCTGTTCAGGGCCAGGGCTGCAATGTGAACCTGCCTGCCCTGTACCCGCAATTAGCCACCTTTCTCTGAGGCCGAGACGTCGGTTGAATGAGGGCAGGTGAGGAGTGACCTGTCCCTTTTGCCCCTCTCCCCAGCCAAGCCCCAGAGCAAGGCTGAGACCCAGGAGGCCCCGCCCAGCCCGCCAGGCCAGGAGCCTGCGCCCAAGGCCCGCTGCGTCTCCACCGGAGGTCGCCCACCCGCCCGAATCTCCTGGTCCCTGGATGGGAAGGTCAGCAAGAGCCGGGTGCCAGGACCCTGCCCGGCAACTCGCTGCTTCAGCCTCTTAACCTCAACACCCTCCAGCCAGGTGGACAGCCAGGCTGCCACCTGCACAGGGGAGCACGGGGGCCTGGAGGAGCCCGGCCAGCTGCCCGTGCCCCTCACGGTGCCCCGTGTCTGTGCCCACGTGTGAGCGCGCGTGGCAACCGCTGCCAGTCGGCCCACACAGCACGGCTCTTCACTAACCTGACCAACGTGGAGAGCAACTACAGCAGCGGTTCTCAACCTTGGCTGCACATTAGAATCACCTGGGAATCTTTTTAAAATCCTGATTTCTGGGCCTCATCCTCCGGAAATTCTGTTTCTTTCATAATAATGTCGATCAGGTGCATGTAACTGAGTAGATTCAAAACCCAGGAGAAGGTTGTAAACATCTTGACCACGCCCTTCCTTTGCCCCGAGGGATCTGACTCTAAAATAAAGACTCGCGTGCAGGCCGTGGCACTGTCTCTCCATCAGAGAGGCGCGTCCCACCTAGCCCCAGCTCTATTCTCTTGTCTGCCTTCTCCATCCTTCACCGCCCACCCCCCTCAGGTTCACCCATGGCCCACAGCCCACGCTGTTCCCCAGGTGGTCTCCCCTGGGTTCCCTGGC